GGTATCCTATCTTGTAGCGTTTTATTTTTCTTTTTATAAAATTCCAAATTTTAATATTGCTGGCGCCATCTATTCGCTAGATGTTAAACTTCATTCAGTACAGGTAGCGGTTCCTTTCCATAAAAACAAATTTCATTCAGTATAGACGATAGAGTTCACTTAATTGCCTTTGGTCATATGACCTGTCAATTCGAAAATGTCCGCTAGGGGCGCATCTGTGATGGCCAATTATAGAACAGGATTTTTCTCAAAAATAAGTAGGCGAAGAAGTATTTTAGAAATTGCTATTTTATTCAATGGGTTTATTCGTGCAATTTTTTTTGATCTAGCGTATTAGGATCGGCAAAAAAAAAGTTTTTTTAATTTTACTCAAAATGAGTTACTTCGGTCATAAATGACCTAAATACGAAATATTTTCATAGTGTCTGTCTGTCTGTCTGTCTGTCCGTCCGTCTGTGCGTCTGTAACACGATAACTCAAAAACCGCTGAACCGATTTTAACCAAATTTGGCACAAAAATACTGTGGCACTCGAGAATCTGGCCATTAGTTTTTGGTGGGGGTGGGGGGTTGGTAAGGGGGTATGGGAGGGGGTTATAAATTTTAAAAAATCGTAACTCCAAAATTACAGTAGCTAGCGAAACGCGATTTTCAAATTAAGATTAGGAATAATATTTGCAACAAAATTTGTAATAACATCAAAATCAGTCAAAGTTGCAGTTTTCGAGATATTAACATATTTTAGTATGGGCGGCTATACGTGCCTCCCGGCGCCAATTTTTTTATTTTGTTCAAGAAATAAAGTGCTGGGGGAAGGTTAAACTTGAGTTGAAAGGTTGAACTAAGGATAACTCTGGTTTAGGTTGGCCTATTTAAACAGGCTAGGTCTCGTTTAAAAGAGCTTTTCTTTCTTAATAATCTTCAGTTGAAATGTTTCCATAGGTTTTTTCATGGTAGTTAGAGGATGCTGTTAACATCATAACAGATATTGCGATTTAAAAAAATTAAATAGTACGCTATGTTTGTTTTAGCACATTTAAATAGGCACAAAACTTTTAAAACATCAGCAGAAACCGCAACTTTCTATCTGCTCAACGGGAGATATTAAGCGAAAAACTGTAGTAGGCTAGGAAACAAAAAGAGGTAAATTTGTTACGTCAAAATATCAATTTGTATTTTAGTTTTATTTTAATGCCATTTAATTGTGATTTATCCATGTTCGTTCTTGATTCGACACCGTAAATAAAAACCCAGGCATGTTTAATCCAATGATCTAGTTGGCCATGGAAATATGCCGCTCCGACGTCTCTATCTACTAAAAAAATGGCTCGGTAAATGGTATTCAAGAAGCCCCACACGTTCATAGCAAAATAAGCGGCACAACTGGACTAACTGAATCATCATGCTGATAAAATCGCAACAAATGCAATTCCATCATGTCGGAACCACCAATAAAATTAGACATTCCTCTTTTAGAAATTGTGGATAGTTTTTTTTAATTTATTATTTTTTTTAGATGATTAGAAAGTCCGATCATTCTCTATCCTAGAATTTCTAACCAAACATTTACCGACCAACGGTCTTGGTGCTGAACTACTTGCGTCTAGGGTAAATTTGAACCAGTAATGCATATTGTTAAGATTCACACCGTCGCGCGTCGCCGTCGTTGCTATATGAAAAGTGCCCCGAACAACATAAACTTAATAATATAATAATAAATAAACCAACTCAACAAGAGGTAACGCACGAAAACAAGTGAAATCAAGGACGAACTTTGATTAATAACTAAATAACGTTACATGAAAATAAACCCTAGTTTTCGGCCATACGAAATTCCGCCGTTTTCTGTTAAAAGTAATATGGCTGCACAAAATTCCTAAAAAAATTAATAAAATTATTGATTTTCCGACTTTCGGACATTTAATCTAAGAACTACTTACATATAATTAACCAAGAAATTCGTAAAAAATGTATGGATGGACGAAAATGTTACATAAACACGTTTAAAATTTATGACGTCATTTTTTCTAAGAAAACGTCTAAAATTCGTATGCATGAAAACTATACTTAGAGGTTTTGATATTTTCAAGTAACCAATTTACCTCTTTCTGTTTCCTAGCCTACTACTATAATTTTTAGACCTTATAATCCTAGACAGCAGCCTAACATGATTTGTTCTTTTAATATCTCCCGTTAGAGTGAAGATAGAAAGTTGCAGTTTGCGCTGATGCTTTAAAACTGTTGTGCTCTATTTAACTGTATAAAAAGAAAAATAAAACACTAAATCACCACAATAGACCAAACCACTTTTACTTTTACACTGGGCGCGCGTTTCACTAACCATGTTTGCAACATCAGCGATTCCAGTGTAAAAGTAAAAGTGTTTCCGCTCCGTCCAATATAAAAATAAAAGTGTTTTGGTATTTTTTTGTGAATTAGTGTTTTATTTTGCTGTGTAACACTAAATGTTCCAACCCCCAACTGTAATGCATAAAAAGAAACATAACCTGCTATTTAATTTTTTTATGCAATAGCGCAATATCTGTTATGATGTCAAACAGCGCCCTCTAGCTACCACAAAATCTTTTTTTAACCTTCCCCATCACTTTATTTATAATACACTATATAAAAAATACAAATTTCCCGTTGATTAGTATATTTAATAATAATAATTCAATAGTTCAATAGTAATATTTAAAATACTATTTCGTTTTTTTTAATTGAATAATTAATGACAATTTTGTGTAACACTTATTGACTTGTGTATGTATTTGATATTTAGCACCAATAAACTATTTGAATTTGAATATGAATACCACTTCGCCTGCTTATTTATGAGAAAAATCCTGTTTTCTGATTGGCAATAACAGATGCGCCCACTCGCGGACATTTTTCGAACTTGAAAATAATTTCCAGCAATTTCTCTTGGCCGATTTATTTATTATTTTTTCCCCAAATTAACAACAAATTTCCAAAGGGGACATCAAAGGTTCTTGTTAAAATACACAGAACATCATGTATTCAATTTTCAATTCTTTTCTATTTCTTGACCGATTCGGGAACATTCTTGTATTTATTTAAAACCCGTTCGAATGGAAAAACAAAACGAAACCGCGCAAAATTTCCTCCGTTTTCTTTTCCTTCTGCCGTTTCTTCCTCCGACGTAAATACTAAAACGATTGCATAACTCCTTTCATTCGAGTAATACGATTTGGAAAATGAATTGGAACGACAATATAAGTGGATTAGGAGCCTCGTTCGGAAATGAGCCGCTTTCTCCAGAATTTTCCACTGGGAATATTTAAAGATCGACGCGAACAAGCACCGGCAACGCTGTCGATAAATATTTGTGCCGTTTTAAACATAATTTTGAAGCATCGTAAAGTATTTTCCAAAATAATTCATTAATTATTCCTTTTTATTTCAAAAGAAAAATACATAATGTAATCTTATTATAAAATATTGGCTTCTTAAGAAATGTACCATTTATACATTTACTGCCAGTTTTACAAAAAAAAGTCGCCTTTAAACTAGCCGCGCCAAGCTGAACAGTACGCTCGCGAATGTTTATGCGCATTTGCGAGTTGTACACACTTTGATGGTACAACCCTCAACTTACAAATGATTAAAAAAAATTGATCATCTGCTGCTTTATAGTGTGGATATAGCTAACTTTTATAGTGTGAAGGAATACCTGCAAATTATAATATTCGACAGGTATGATAATTTTAGAATAATTTTATTATGGAATTTGGAGTTTGTTTTTGTATATTTTGTATATTTTGTATTATGCAGGATGAATCTTAAATCAGTGCAAATATTTTTAGGGCTGGTAGATCTCGATAAAAGAAACATATTTTCTCTTTACCAGCTTTCTAATAAATCCATAAGTTACTTTACTTTGAAAATTTCCAAAAAAAAAATTAAATTTTGAGAACAACTGTTGAATTTCTTCTGGATTTTCCTTCTTTGGTTTTCTTGTAAATTTAATATACTACCTATGTTGCCATAATATCAAGAAATTATGTTTTTTAACTAAAAAATCCAATTTTTTTTTCAAAGAATTCCAAATTTTATTTTTTTCTGCAAAAGAACCCTCATAATCGTGTTTCTGAGGTCGAAATAAACATCTAAAAATATTGTCAAGGATGGAATTATTCGATATATAAAATAACATATTTAATATTAATATATTTCGTAAATTAATAATTCGATTGAAAGGAAGTATAAAATAATTAAAGTTCATTGGCATTTACGCAACAAAAGTAAAGTTTTAAAAATCAAAGTTATAAGCATAATTGGCAATTGCGAAAATATTTCGATGTATTTTGGCAAATCAGAGTTTTTTATGAATATTTTACTCTTTATCCTTTAATTTTAGTTAAATTAACAATAAGTTAATAATATAATAATAAAGAATTAAAATCTACTGAAACCAAATAAAAAAAACGAAAATATCTAAGAAAATGTTTATTTGGGGGGTAGGCAACCTTAATGGTATTTTGAATAGACATGAATTTCTCATTGAATATCGGACTAATATACTGGGTGTTCTATTTAACCCAGATACTGCCACCGGCCTTTTAAAAGGACACTAACAAAATCAACAATTTTCGCAATTTTTGAGTTCTCAGATTCAGAGATGTCGCTACTAATACTGTATTGTTTAGGAATATCTTCAAACAATTTTGACATTTGTCTGTGATTTATTGTTGTTTACTTGGAAATAGAGGCAAGTGTTTTTCTGAAGTTTTTTTTGATTCTGACATGGACAACAAAAGGTAAGACAAATGTTATTATAATTGTAGATTTAAGTGTTTATTTAAAAATAAGATATATCAATAAACAATTAGCGATGTAATGGTTTTTGCGCGCGCTGGCCGACTGCCGCCGCTGCGCCGAGATTTCCTATACCCTTGTATATATGACGTCATGGTGTGGCAAATGTAGCATTTTAATTCGATTTGGGCGCCCTTATATAGGATAACAGAAACATTTTCAATGTTAAAACCATTAACTCTAAATGAGTTGTTGGAAGAGGTTGAAAGACTTGATGATGATAGTACGTTTCCCGACGCAATTGTAGTTTTACCACCAACAAACGCTAATGGGTATGTTACAGATGAGGACTCTGGTGATGAAGAAAATGTTACAATGGATAATCTTCCAGGTACCTAGTTTAACTTTTTTGGTATTTATCATTCCAACTAAATATATTAAATAATAATTTTTGTACGGGGTTTCCTATAAAAGTTACACACGTTGTTTTATACTATTAGTTATATTTCCTTTTAATTTTAGGTAGTTTACTAAATTCTGAGGCTGAACCTGTTTTCGAGACAAATTGTGATGTCATAGATGAGGGTGATGATGAAGATATATACAAATATACAAATATGTATGCCATACAACATAATAGAACTGGTGATGTATCTAAAGACGAGATGAAATGTTTCTTTGGGGTTTTCATTTACAGTGGTTATTGTGCTGTAGCAAGAAGACCTCTATACTGGGAAAACAGCTCTGATGGAAATCATAATATCATATGCGAAGCTATTTCAAGAAACCGCTTTAATTTTATTTTGCAAAATTTACATTGTAACAACAACCTCAGTTTGGATTTGGATAATAAGTTCTCAAAAATTGTACCTTTTCTTAAACATCTGAGTAAAAATTTTTTGGAATTTGCCCCAGTTAAACAAAATCATAGTATAGACGAGTCGATGATACCGTACTTTGGACGTCACAGCCCGAAACAATTCATTAGGGGCAAACCAATTAGATGGGGCTACAAGTTTTGGATGGGGACAGACCACAGGGGTTACATCGAGTGGTTTGAACCCTATCAAGGCTCTACGACAAAACTAGATGAACGATACAAGGACTTAGGTTTGGGGGCGAACGTAGTTTTAACTTTTGCTGACAAAATCACATCAGAGAAAGGTCGTTTACCATTTCATCTTTTTTTTTGATAATTTTTTTACCTCTTGGGACTTGCTTTTAGTCCTAAGAGAGGTATCAAGTCAACTGGTACTGTCAGAGAAAATAGAATAGCAGTTCCTATAATAAAACACAGTAAAGATCTAAAGAAGGAAGAAATGGGCACCTTTGATTATGCTCTAGAAAAAACTGAAAATATTATAGTTTGTCGGTGGAATGATAACAACATGGTCACCATTGCTTCAAACTGTGAACCTGTATTGTATCCTAACAGTGTCCTTCGATTTTCTGTAAAAGAAAAAAAAAACAAATAAATATACCCCAACCAAAATTGATCAAGTCATACAATCAAAATATGGGAGTAGTGGACAGAGCTGATCAGAATATTAGTTTGTATCGGGTAAGCATCAGGGGAAAAATGGTACTTTCCATTGATTAGTCATGGTTTGGACATGGCAATACAAAACGCCTGGCAACTCCATCGTCATTATGGCGGAAAAATGGATCAATATGCATTTCGAAGATTCATTGCAAAAGGAATTTTAGAAACACATAAAAAGACAACCAAGCGAGGCCCCCCAGGCCCACAAAAAGCACTATTTTAATGTAATAAATGTGACATAGGTTTGCATCCTAAAAATTGCTTTTTTGAATATCATAACCAGTAATTTACCTATTATTATAGGTTAAGTGTTTTTTAATTAAATAACATATTTTCGAGTATATAATGTATTATTTTTTCAATTCAAATAAATTTGCAAAAATTAGGCATTTCAAATTTTGGTCCTTTCAAAATCTCCTTATACTGCCACTGGCCTTTATAAAGGATGGTCTATATCTAAAAAACTACCGAACTTATGAAAAAAACTTTGAATAAAACTATTCTTTTTAAGTCCTAAATAGAGCATTTTCAGTAAAAAAAGTAATGTTTTCTTGAAAAAATAATTTCGGGAGTATCTGGGTTAAAATAAACGAGTAACTTGCTATTAAAAGTGACTAGGTACTATTCAATAATATTTTTTTCTCACCAAGTATAATTTTTGGGCCAAGTTTTAATTTGATTTAAAGTAAAAAAAAATGTGTGTGCACTGTGTATGCATATTTGAAGTGAAACCTTTTACTTTTGTCTGTCTGTCTGTCCGTCTAAAGTCTAAAGCTTGATTTTCGTGCATCCGTTATACGTTGATACGATCGATGGTTCGACGGTGCTCTGATTCGTCATAGCGTTTTCGCGCCACTTTTCATCCGTAAATATTTTAGTTCAGCCCGTCAACGGACCCGTTCATACGATAACGGACGTTTTGACACTTTTTTGACAAATTTAATCTAACAATAATAAAAATATAAGTAAAATAGCAAAATCGTTATGGAAACGAAAATATAAAATAACACCAACGCATATCCGATAAACGGAGGCATGAAAATGCAATAAATTTAAAAACTGCATTATTTTCTAACCTAATCAAAGTCTTTAAATTCTACCAATAAAATTAATATTGTATCAACGTATCGTCGGACAACGGATGCATGAAAATCAAGCTTAAAGACTCCATTCGGCTATTAGTATCGACGTGCTGAATTTGGTTCCAATCGACCCATAATTAAGAAAAATCCTGATGATTTCGTCCATTTAGAGGTATTGGTTCGAAACGTCGCGTCGAGGGCGTTATCCTGTAACCCGTCGCCAATTATGTCAAAATCGACCAATATTTTTCTTCAATATCGAATTGTTAGTCCCACCCTGATGAAGATGTAAATGAAACGTCGTATCCAACTTTGCAGGGCTGGACCGTGTGCACCGTCGCGTCGCTCACATTGTCTGCCCTTCAAATTTGGTCGCGATCGGACGACATCAACTTTTGACGTTTCTTACATCAAAACTAACTGTCACAGTGACACGTGTCGTACACGGTCAAGTTGGTCTTAGTCCAATCTATCGACATACCAAATTTCATTTAAATCGGACGATTTTTTTTATTTGATTCATTGATGATGGAGTTTAGTAGTGCACGAAACGTCTTCAAAATATAACGAAAAGATGGGGATCGAAGGGCCCCATCTACATTCCGAGTTTCAACCCCCTAGTTCATATAGGGCCCGAGTCACGACGCTTCAAAGACCCAAAATCGGACGATTTTTTCGCCATTGACGATGGGGTTTCTTAGTACACAAAATGTCGTCAAAATATCATGATCATGTCAATATTAATATCACGTCATCTACATTCCCAGTTTTAGCCCCCTAGCTCACATAAGGCACGAGTTACGACACTTCAAGATCGATACCATTTTTGTGACGTTTCGGGACCTTAGCGTGACGCTTCGCGTAACGCTTGCTCGTATGTCGCGGGCGGCCTTGAATTTTTACTCCCATTGCGCGTAAAGAAGTTTCACATTCACAATGGTTATTTTAACTGCATATTAGGTTCTAACGGGTAAATTCTAATTTAGGTAGCTTTTGTTGAAATTTAAAATTTATTCTTCATTTTTGGAAAATATTAATTATGTAAAAAACATACATTTTAGTTATATGCTTCTCTAATGAAATTCATCTTTATTTTTCTCCTAGAATCCGAATATAAATTAACATACAGGGTGATTCCTGTAAGTCGGTCATGCTTTCGAGGAATGATAGGGGACGTCGAAATATTAATTTTGATATAGTACACTATGAGTGGGAAATGCCTCTTACGGAAGATACATGGTGTTAAAGTTTTTGAAAAATTAAAGATATTCTTTAATAGTTTTTTAACAGTTGAAGGTATCGTTATAAAATTTTATTATAGGAGTTTGCCTAACAGAGACACTTTAAATGTAAAAAGAAGAGGTTTTAGTTTCAACCAGTGGCGTAGCTGTGATACGCATCGGGTAATATTTTCAAAAAAAAAATAGTAGGCCACTCTTTATTTCCAAGAAAAAATGTCTCTTGTAACTTTCTTCTATCTAACGCCATTTTGTCACAATTTAAAAATAAATATTTTTTTAATGAGAACCTTAAATATGCAAATTATTATAACTACCTACCTTAAAACTACGAATTTTATTATTAACAATAAAAAAAATTCTAGTTTAAATTTAAATTTTTTTAAAAATTTATTTAGAGCTAATAGTAAAAAGTACTAAACTTACCCAGGATGAAGGGAGCTAACGATGCACATGTGTTTCTGCTCTCTAGTTATAATAATTCGCTGTATTTCAGATTCTCATTAAAAAAATTATTTGTTTTTAAATTGTGACAAAATGGTGTTAGATAGGAGAAAGTTGCAAGAGACATTTTTTCTCGGAAATAAACCGAGTAAATAAAATAGTCCGAAATTTTAATTTTTATCAGTGGCGTACTATTTTTTTTTGGAAAAAATTACCCGATGCGTATCACATCTACGCAACTGGTTGAAACTAAAACCTCTTCTTTTTACATTTAAAGTGTCTCTGTTAGGTAGATTCCTATAATGAAATTTTATAACGATACCTTCAACTTTTAAAAAACTATTAAAGAATATCTTTAATTTTTCAAAAACTTTAACACCATGTATCTTCCATAAGAGGCATTTCCGACCCATAGTGTGCTATATCAAAATTAATATTTCGACGTCCCCTATCATTCCTCGAAAGCATGACCGACTTACAGGAATCACCCTGTATATGGTTTTCCTTTACAAAAAAAAAACTTTGATGTGTAACTTTATTTTCGGACACCTTGTAGAACTCTCCATATTTTAAAAAATGCTCTAAATTAACTTACATACGCTCACAAAATTTCATTTCAATATAAACAGTCGTTTCCCTTTGAGCCTCTGCGTCGAATGAGAGGCATCACCCTGTTGTATATTTTCCGAGATATTTTCCTATACTTTAATATTAATTTATGTTATGTTATATTAATCTAGATCCTGCCTTAGCTTGGAATGGGTCTTTCAGCTATCACCCGCACCGGCAGCGTGTTCGCGAAATTTGACAAGTTGGCGAGCCACGTTTGTGTTTCTTAGCAACCCGGACAAATGAAAATCGAGATCTGTCAGTTGTCCGGTGCAGAAGTTTATTAAAAGCGTATTTTTATTGTCGATTATTAGTTTTATTATGAGTTGTAGAATATTTTCACGGTGGTGTCTTGTAAAAATTACGAAATTTAATGAACTGATTTTGAGTGTTTGTGACTTTGATGTTGATGTGCCTGTTGCAGGATACTTGAAGTTGTTGATAAAAAAAGTAAGTAGTTTGTATTTTATAATAGTTTGTTCCCATTTTTTGAGCATATTTTTATTAAAACTATGTAGGTGTTAAAGATGCGTTCTCACTAGTCCATTTTGGTTGTACCTTTTTTATTAATGAAGCAATATCGATCAAAAATATGCTTGTTATATATGTTGATCAATTTTAGTTGAGCCGAAAGTTTCATCCATTCAAAACTTATCCATCAATGGATGCGTCCTAGGCAAATTTATGAGCGGATTTCAGACAATTTCAAACGCATTTGAACCATGTGAACGTAATCAGTGACTGTGACTTCTTTGTTCAATAGTTTACTTTGAGATTTGACTGTGCTGACTTGTGCGTTAACAAGAAGACGACAAAATTAGTATAACAGTAGCTTGAAAGTATTGTGTTATTTTTTATTTTTTGATTTATGTCAACAGCATGACTGCTTATGAAATACCCAACTTGAAAGTTTAGTTTGTATTGAAAAATGAAACTGTGAAACCATAAATATGTAAGTTATTCGAAAGCATTTTATAAAAATATGTAGAGTTCTACAGGTTGTCTCCAAAAAGTTAAGCATCAAAGTTGTGTTTTTTTTTAGTGGAACATCCTAAATATTAATTTATTTTCTGATTATAGAAAAAAATAAAGTAGGTTTCATTAAATAAACATATGACTAAAATGTAATGTTTTTGGCATATTTAAACATTTTCTGAAAATGAAGAATAAGATTTTAATTTCTATAAAAGCTACCTAAAATGGCTACCTAAAATGTATTTTTTACACTGTATAGCCTGACATTTAGTTAAAATAACCATTGTATGTTAAAAGAAATT